AGTATGGCACTCTTTTTGGCTTAATTTACATTTACCTCCATTTTTAAATGAGGTCTTAATAGTATCTACAAAGGAATTGCTAGTTATTTGAGCAACTCTGTTTTTTCAATATCCAATTATTTTCCTTCTACTTTATCAATGTATTGTTCCTAAAATATTTTACAAGACCAGCTTATATGGAATAAAAGTTATTACATCATTAAGGAATAATTTTCCTTTACAGTGTCTGCTATACTGTGTTATTATTCATATTCTTAAATAGTTCCTTTGAGGATATTTGGGCTGATATCTAAGTTTCTTTTATTAAAATATTTCTCTGCTGTTGGAATTTTATGTCCATAATAAAAGATGTCCCTAAACTGATTTGTTTTTGTTTTCTTGTAAAACTAAACATAACATATGGCTTTTCTTCTGCTTTATTTAGTTATGGATTATAAACCATGCTTATATTAGTGCTTTTCTATAATTCAACCATCACATTAACAAGGTGAGTTTAGAACGAATAACATATTCTTTCAATCATTCTGATTTGCCACCTGAAGGAATAGATATATAAAAAATGAACAAAATTTACCCCATGTTTAAAATTTTATTTTTATTATTAGTTCTGTCACATTTCTACTTCTGTGGATTTCATCTCACTTTTTGTAAGAGTACAGTTAATATTTCAATGTAATGTGTTTAATTTTTCTAGGAAAAATAATCCAATTTTCTAAATTTGGTGCTACTTGCTATTGCTTTGCAGATATTTTATTTTCAAATCATGATACAAAAATAAATTGATTTCATTGATAGTCCACATATGGTGCCTACACATAGTATATTTTATCTTTGTGTGTTCTGTGAATTCAGTCAATTGTATGCTTTATTCAAACTACAATAAAGTTAATACAGGCTTAATTTTATGTGTCAGTCATGTGATAGGTAAATGTGGTATTGTCTTGTTGGTTTGGATAATTCCTTTTATACAATTAAAATACACCAATAAATAAAAAGGACATTTACATTTATTTTAGCTTCTTAACAACAGCCATCTGTCTGATAGAGCAAATACCAACATTTAAAATCTCTGAAACCTTCTGACAATGTATAATATAAAATCATTATACACACTAACGAACTAAGGTATTCATATCACCTGGAATGCAATGTTAAAAAATAATGTAGTTTCTTTAATTTGTATTCTTTGGCCTTAATTTTATATATGACTTACTTGTTTAATTACATGGGACCAAATATATATGGGCGTAAGTTATTGTACAATTATGGAACCAGAAAATTCCGATTCAGTTGTGATTGTTAATACAGGATTTTTATATCCTCTTTCCTTCAAAAATATACCCCTTAAACATCAGCATGTAATTTTGCTTGAAATTCAAAACCTGAAGAAAAAAATATGCATTCATTAACATGATCATGGGAATGTTTACAGCATTTGCAATTAGAAACTTTCTGCGTTTGGATAATAATAATATTCCTGTTTTAATATTAAAATTGTAAATTTAAAAAAGAACTACTCCAAAATAGGAAAAAAACCAAACTCAGTTGTTAGGGCATACAATCTGAATTAAGGTTCACCAATTTTTAATGGACATCTTACTATATTAGGGCCTCTATTCACATTAATCCCAGTCATTTCCAAAGAGAAAATAATTCAGTATGTTAGAATTTGTTTTATTTCAGCCATGACAAAACTGTTTTTAATGCAAGTGAAATGAGATACATTTACCATTTTCTAGTCAAAATTTTTACTTTTCTATATCTATGCTGAGACAACCATAGAACATTTTGACCAACAATCTCATTGAATAAAACATTTCATAATCATGCAAAGTAATGTATATTAATATTGCAACAATCCATGCAAAAGATAACATTAAACGAGAAGATCCATGATCTTGAAGTCATTCAAGATACTAATTATACCATTTAAAATTAAATCCAGTTAAATGGTTAGGATCTAGCTAGTAACTTTTATGGGAAATACTGTTATCATTAATTTCTTGTTTGATCCATATTGTATACAATACTTTGAGTAAGTCAATAGTTTCTTTAGTATATGGAAAAGTAGATTCTAAGCACAGCATCCACTTGATATAACTTATTTAAAATACATAGAATATATCTTACGATCATTTCCCTCTTCTGTGTTGTTAAATTTTCAAAATTAAAAAAGATAAGATCTAAAAGTGTGAGGCAGGATACTTAAATATTAAGCAAGTTCTTGAGATACACTCTTCAATTAAATCTTCCAATCTGAAAACAAAAGCACACCAAAACAATTGTTATACATTTTTAAAATATATTTGGAATATAATGAAATGCATTACTTTGTTTTAAACAATATAAATATAGCAGTTTAAAGTATTCAGTAGAAATTCTTCATTTGCTGAACAATATCACACTGCAAATTTACTCTTACTGCTGACAGATGGATAATGATACAAGGACAATCATCATCTCCGTGGTAGCAGTGTAAAATATGTCAGAGGAATATTGCACAAGGAGCTGCTGCTGCTTTTTTACAGTCCTGCCTCGGCTTCCTCAGTTGTATACTTTTTGCAAACCCAATATGCCCAGAGTACAAGTCAACTAAGGGCAATTTCATGGCTGCAGACTTAAAGAGAACCAACAAATTAATTATATCAAGTTCTAAAATTGCTGATGAAATATGCCCTTGCCTACAAAACCTTAGATCATAGAAGATACAATCTTGAATGTTTCACAAAAATCTAGTTTTTCTTGTAGATCACTAGTTAACTTTTCAGAATTTTGGGCAAATTATGCTTGGAATTTGAACAAACATTTTTTACAGAAAAAATCCTGCGAGGATTCTTGTTTTCAATATCAATCTATGATTCTAATTTTTATTTACTTGCATTCTCAGCAGCAAATAATTATTGAAATAAGTCCCATTCCTGAACTAATGTTGCCATTTAAATACAGGTAATCCTCAACAGTTAGTTTAGTGACATCCAAAATTATAACAGCACAGAAAAATATGACTTATGACCATTTTTCATAGTTAACTTTGCAGCATCCCCATGTTCATGTGATAAAAATTCAGATGCTTCGCAACTGGCTCATATATACACATTTGCTGTGTCTCAGGATCATGTGATCATTTTTTGTAACATTTTAAAAAGCAAAGTCAATGGGGGAAAGCCAGATTTACTTAATTAAGCTGCAGCAAATCACTTAATTGTGGCAAAAAAGGAGTAAAATGACACAAAATTCACTTAACAAATGTTTCATTTAATAGAAATTTTAGCTCAGTTGTGATTGTAAGTTGAGGACTACCTGTATTACACATATTATGGATAATACTTATTTCTTCAGATTTACCAGTTACTGTAGACACTGATCCCAAGTGTATCAATTTCAACTCTGATATTTTCATTAGTATTAATAAAGCAAATACCTGTATTTTTCTTTAGAACACAGAATTCAATTATCCCACTTTTTTCAATCCACTTATGGCATCTCACTGATAATTCCAGTATAAATAAGTCCTAATGCTTTTAGTGATAGTATAGCCGTGTCTAAGTTCATTGTAATCACGTTATGCTCATTGTACTAATTGTTTTTTTAAATTTAATATGTGTGCCATAAAAGAAAAAATATAATTTGAGGATTTAGATGACATATAACTAGCTTGGAAATAATTCACTTAAATGAATTATTTTCTTTAACAAACTGGAATGTAACCTATCAAAAGGTAAATGCCTAATTAGGTCACATTAATATATGCATTCTGAAATCATAGGAATTTAATAACCCCAGTAACTCTGGTATGAATTCTAAACAAATAACATGTGACCCTTAAATTTTTCCCCCCAACAAAACTTTACTGTCTTTGCAGGTATCTGCTCCGGCATGGTATGTTTAGCCATGAGATAAGATAGAGTAATTATAGCAAATTGTACCCTGCAGAATCAGTCCAAAATGTGTTAATTGTCCTGCAGGGTAAAATACTGATAACTCAGCATGCCCATCTGGATAGATACTGAAGGCAAACACAGCACTTAAACTATAAGACTGGTTTAATGATGCTAATATGTATGATTAAATGGACACTGCAAAATTGTGACTCTGCCCTTTTGCACTTTAGGGAAGTTTTACACAAGTGCTAAAGAACTGAGTTTGTATCATGGGGCATGTGCCCTCTTCCCTGATAGATGCCTATATCGTTATCATCATTTTAAGCCATTGCCTATCCACTGCAGGATGAAGGCCTCTTCCTCATGTTTCCAACCAATACCGTCCTTTTTTTTGCCAATAGGGTCGCAATACTTGCTATATACATGGCTATTAAATTGAAAATTAATCACAGTTCCACAACAGAATAAATATATAGTCCTCCTGCTTTAACTTGATATAATCCGGTACTTTGAAGCTGGAATTTTGATCATAGGTAAGCCATCAACAGAAACCTGGGAACTGGGAGCTAAAGAGTCCATTGGTTAACCCGTCACCCTTTTAAAACTCACTTCCATCCTCCCCTCCCCAAGAACTGCAATAAAGAGTAACGCTGAGTTACAGTATCACAATTCAAGTTGTCCACAGACAATTACGATTCATCTTAATGCACGTTACCTTTCCGTTAGTTCAAGATCTGCCCGGCATGCAAAGGAAAGTGCCTCCTTATCATTCTTCCTTTGAGCAGAATTTCAAAAAATGTTCTTTCAGCTTCACATTTCAAGACCCTAACTCGCTCTCTCCTTGCTTACTTACTCCGCAAGCCAAAAAAGATCCAGGCGCTAGATTCTTCACAGTCGGAAAAAAAAATGCAACGATGCTTTTATAGTAGAGAGTTTTAAAGGCCCGACCGAAGAGCTCTGCAATTGGATCTCGAGTTTAGCTAATCGCAATGTAGAAATGTAATTTGGTTCCGCCGGATTGGTCCGCCGCGCAGGGCTAAAGTACAGGCAGCCTTTCACAGCTGCTGCCAATATCTTGAAAGTGATTGATATCAGCTTCTACCTTTCATAGAACTACTTCGGCAAGCGGGAGGGACCAATTGCCCCAATCAGTGCTCCTGGGTAACCCCAAGCGTGGAAGGTCGCTCCAAAGGAAGACGTTTGTGCAAAGTCGAGGTGGCCGCTGTGGTAGTCATGATTGGGTCCCTTTGCCGACAACCCGCAGTTTTGCGGCTGGCGGGACGCTCACGACCCTCGGGATATTTTGTGCAGCAGCTGAGTCAGGGGGGACCGAGCTCCAGTGGCGAGGGCAATGGGTCCAAGGAGGCGGTGGAGCGACTGGTGCGCGCACATCCGGTGGTGGTGTTCATGAAGGGGAGCCCGGCCCAGCCCCAGTGCGGCTTCAGTAACGCGGTGGTGCAGATTCTGCGTCTTCATGGTGTTAATGATTATCGTGCCTATGATGTCCTCCAGGATCCCGACCTCCGGCAAGGTAGGCGTCGCCCTTGCTCAGCCTTCTCTTCAACTGACTGGGCCCCACAGAGCTCTAGATGTATTCAACCATTGGCAGCCCCCCTTTTTAGCCCCCCCCCTTCATTTCGTTCACAGTTTCTGTGATTTTTAGGTTTTATGCATGCCTTTTCGTCCAGAGCAATCCGATTGTTGCTTTTGTCTCTGGTCCGATCTTTACCTAAAGAAGCAAGTTGGACTTGATGACTGGACAGGCGACCCTTATTCTTGCTGGCCACACCAAGAATGTTAACACTTAACCATGAGGGGAAGGAGAGGGTGGGTGGCTAGACAATGGCACCTGTTCAGTTGGCGGTGGTCTCTGTTCAGTTGGCCCGTCTGCCTTTTCCTAAGGGAACAGGCTCATTTGTGCTCCATTTGCTTGCCTTCACCAGGACTAGGGCTATCTCAAGAAAAATGCAGACTACTACTAGGTAAAGGCATTGCTACTATAGATGTAGTCCACATTTTTGGTGCTTAAGTTTAACATATGGAGATTTCTAGGCAGCTTGTGGTCTTGACACTTTGATGCCTGATTAAAACAATCATCTTTGTTCTCCTTTGTATCTGACACACTCTCATTCAGAAAATAGAATAATAAAAACAAAATATCCATGAAATTTGGCTTACTAAATAAGGACCCAGAAAGTGTATGTTATGTTCAATTTTGATCTGTCTTAAATTTTGGTCTCTCAATTACTTTTTTTACTCAGGATCAAGTAGGCTAGAACAAGTGCCATCTCATATTGCACTGGCACACTGCCAATGCTACCATCCTGGGGAGATTGTTAAGGTATTTCCTTGCTTTCTAAAGAGAGTGAGGGTTTGTTTCAGTGGGCGAGAATATATTAACACTGAAGCCTACCTAGCAAGACAGATAACTCTTATCAGGTTGCTCAAATAATTCCAGTGGTGATTTGATGTGATACGCTATCTATGAAAGAGTAGGTCTGCAACTTGAGAGTCCTCCTTTACTATCTGGAGCATATTATAGACCTTTACATAAGGTTTCTATAAGCTGCCAAGCCCAATTTAAAATGTGTAAATTTTAAAATGTTCTTTATTTTTTCACTATGCTACCTTTGCCAATTTGAATTGGCCAGACCTTGTTGGAAAAACTAGCTATGGTGGGGGTGGGGGTGGGGGTATTGAATCATTGCTTTATAATTCCCTGGATTGGCTTCACATTACTCCCTTGACCATTCCCAAATTTATTTGCCTGAAGATGGAATTCTTCTAGAAGATACTTTGGAAACTAAACGAGATCCAAATCTACAAGTGATTTAAGGCATTTCCTTCATTTTCATAAAATTATAAAGATTGCTTCATGTATATAATTCAGGCTTACATTAATAAATTAGAAACCTAAAATCCAATATGCCCTGTGCTAATCGAAATATGCTTTTGTTTTTGCTTATATGTATGAAAGAATTCTTCCTTGTTTGTTTTCTCCTCTCTGCTTTTTTGCATAATATCCAATCACACACATACATATATACATTGTATGTGCTATATATGTATGTACAAACACACACACACATAATCTTTATGGTAGCTAAGTATTAAAGTTTTACTGCAATATTTTCATAATTGATTTGTGAACCTATGGAATAGTACCATGTTTAAGACATTTATAGTTAAGAATGCCATAACTTGTCTTGACTCGTGCTTTGTGAAGTGAGAAAAATTATGCCATATATGCATAACAAGCTACACCAAACTCTGAACTACTTAGGATCTGTTAGAAAGAGATAAGAATTTGGATGAAAATAGATCGGCAAATAGAACTGAAGGCTTCAGCAGAGCCTTCAGTGACAAAAACCACTCCCTTTGCAACATTTTTTAATTAGTACATGGTAATAAATTTTATAGCTCCACTGTGTACCATAATATTTAAATATTTCAAAAATATTTAATGTAAAAACTTAGACTTAAGATATAGTAGATTTTTGAAAAAGTTTTTACACATCATGATTCTTTAAATAATTCTGTAGTTCTTTGACAAATTAACTCAGCTGTAATTTTAATTGAAAGCCACATATTATTTCTAAGATTAAGTTCATCTATAAATATTAATGTTTACATACCAGTAAATAAGGCAAATGGGTATTGTATTGGTTTTTAAAAATGGAGAGAGATTATACAAGGAACAAATGCTTGAAAGAAATAGTTTGTGGAATATAAATTAAGAATATTCTTTTTGGAAAGAGAAATACAGTGCAATTTTTATTAATCTTCCCATTTGTATATTACTTTTTAAAATCTAGATTTTTCATATGCATTCCCAGTTTTAGAATTTCTTGAGTCTGAATATTAAACAAATGCTAAATACAAAATGATTGTTAGTGTATAATGTAGCTGGTTGGAATGAGTACACCTTTGTTCAATTATAATTAGCTATCTAACTGGTTTAGCCACTTTATACTGCCATCTTTCAGTATAACTAGTGAAAAAGGTACTAGTTGTTATTGTGAAATTATGTAAATTATACAAAAAAATATAATAACTAAATAGGATAAAAGTGGGCATTCTTATGCTACACATTGAGATCTCTTTTTGTTTTCCTACATAAATATATTTTCACTATTAGAGTTATAAATGCTTTGTTCTACATATACATTAATGTCAACTCTGTATTCTTACATTAATCTATTTCCCTTTGCTGCTCCCATTCAATCTGAAACTATCCCCTTTGCAACATTTTTAATAAGTACATTTTAATAAGTACATAAATTTTACAGCTTCAGTTGGTACCATAAGCTTCACATCTAGAAGCTTCAAGTTGGTTTATGTTACAATATACAGAAACCTATCAGAACAATTAATACTTGACAAAATAGCAAAATAGTTTTATACATCAGAAAAGGAGTAGGACAGACAAAAGTAATATAAGTGTTTCTCTACAAAGGTGAGCAAGATAGTGTGTCAGCAATATTATCTAAAGTTCTTTTGTCTAGACTTCCAGAAGCCCTGTTCTACATTGCTTCATATGTTTGGGAATATGTCATTTAACTTCCTCTTACTTTTTGATTTAGGAATTAAAAATTATTCCAACTGGCCTACTATTCCTCAAGTCTACCTCAATGGTGAATTTGTGGGAGGTTGCGACATACTACTTCAAATGCATCAAAGTGGAGACCTGGTGGAAGAGCTTAAGAAATTAGGAATTCAATCTGCACTTCTAGAATCTGAGAAAGACCATGACAAAAAATAAAATTACTGTGACTTTGACAAAGACATCTTTTGATAATTGGTACCGGAAAAGCCTTCTGTACTTTAGTTTTTTTAAAAAAAAAACAAGTTTTGAATTAATGAAGTTTATCATTAAGCATTCTGTTGTTTGTTCACAGTATGATCAACTGATACATATTTTTATTTTTGTCACCCATTTACAATACTATAAAAATAAAAAAAGGTAATTCACTTCTATTTTGCACTGCTTTGTATTTGATTAGTCATTTTAATTGCCTTTATGCTAAGAATTTATTCCAGAATAGTTGGGATTATTTCTTTAAAAAAAAATCTTTATGAAACATTTCCTTGAGTTAGTTCTGTGGACTTTGGCATGTTTAATTGCATTTCTTTCACGTTGCAGATGGTCTAACTTCTTTACAGAAATACCTGATGATATTGGTGCTCTTCCAACTTGTTAAAGAAGCAGCTTTTGACAGGATGATTCTTTGGGAGGCTAGGTAGTCTCTCATCTTAATTTTTCTTTATTTTAACCTAATTATTCATGTTAATAATATTGACATTGTTTCTATTAAGAGATAATGTGCAAAAAGTTGATAGCAATATTTCAGTTGAAAGGAAACAGGCAATTTGTTAAGATTTCCAGACCATCTAAAGAATTAAGGGTGCAGATAACATTTGTTCATTAAATATTTGACTTTAACATTTGTCCCCTCGCTACTTTTATCTGGTAGGTTGGTGGTTATAGACTCTTTGCCTTGTATTATTTCACTACTATTAAGAGCTATAGATTACCTCTTCATTTTGACAATAAAAAATAATACTTAGGTTTTAAAAACAGCTTTGAATGTTGTATTAATGTGACTATAAGTGGAAAAAGTTAAAGACTTAAAGATAAAAGGAAAAAGCAACTTCAAAACTTTAAGACTTCGCTAGCTTAGTTTTCACTTTAAGAAAGTGAAGTGGGAGTAGAAAGAAATGTTTTTCATTTCAAGGGGAAAACATCCTGGAGACACTAAGTAAACACAAGATAATGGTGGAGCCTTACAGTACTACCAGAAGAATAACTCTTGTTGAACTCAGCATGAGGTAACATATAAACAGGGATTGTGGTTATTAATGCCACATGTTCATTGATGTATTCTTGGGAATAAGAATTAAACACGTAACTAATGGTGAGAAACACTTCATTTTTAAAAAATTTGGAAAACAGTTTGCTAAACACATATGTCCTTGATACATATTTGAACTCTTGCTTACAGCAAATATATAGTACTTTTAACTGTGAGGAAGTTTTATTGTGATAATCAGCCTATGTTTATACGCTAGTAAATACATTAAAATACGTTAACTGTTTATTTTGTTAGAAAGTAACAAAACCATTATTTTGTTGTCCAAATGTTTTAATGGAAGTTGGTTATTGTTGACAGGTTTTGAAATAAAAGCTTCTACCCAAAAGACTGCTTCAAATAATTAAGTTAATTTTACTTTTGTTTATTTTCAATTTAAAATAAGGGGATTCATTTTGGAATTAAAAGTGTTGTATCTCTGAATTTCTGCATTACTACACAAACCACTTAAATACTGGTTGCAAAATAGATTTTAGTTTTTAGATTCTGAAATTGTGACAAAGACACATATAGAAACATGCTTTAAAAACACCTATTCTCGGTTTGCATATTTGGGCTAAAAATATTTTGAGATAGAAGTTGGATACAACCCTTTAGGTGTCCCACTTTTTGGTGTTCCATAGAAATTGAACATTGTGATTATTATACCGCATATTATTATAGGTTCACTGTAAAGTTTATATTTATAAAGCCCCACACAGCTGGACAAGTTCAAGATGTAGGAACTATAGACTTAGAGATATCCTGAATACAGTCTTGAAAAGAGAAAGTGAATTATTAATCCTCATATTAGCCAGCTCATTAAGGTGGTATCTCCTTGAATAATTTGAAATGTTTCTTCCTAGGTTTCCTCCTATCTGTGTTGTTATTTAAAAGATAAGTTACCAGGAGCTTTATATCTCCTGACTATATGTAATATATCTTCCATGAATTTCCCAATTTTACCACAGTGCCTCACAAAGTTCAGGTCAGATCAGGCTTATAATGATCATGATTGAAGATAAGAAAGTATTCTTTAAAAAACATTTACTATGATGGAGACAATATCTTTAAGGATGGTCCTCTGTTTTATCAGATAACTGAAGCATAAATGAATGTTTACAAAAGTATAATAGACCCAGTTTATATAATGTGTGCCAGTTTAATACATTCAAATGATTTCAAAAAACATAAAACATTATCTGATCATGTCCACCATTGGAATTCAACTATGCTACTTATGATTCTAATAGTAATATATAGCTAATGTGACCAATAGTGTCAAGAGAAGATATGAAAGCCTTATTTTTATTTATTAAATTTGCATACCCGGATTCCCAAAGCATTCAGCAGTTCACAATCAAATTACAATAAAAAATTTTAAAAGGTGGCAAGCATATATTGCAGATGACTGAGTGAAGAGCTCTTAATGGCTTTTCTAAACAATTGAAGAATGTGTTTCATCAAAATTTCAGGGAGAACCTCATTCCAATAGGTAGGCACGACTATAGGAAAGGCTACTTCTGGAATCCTGAGATGACATTGTGTAATCAAAGGAAACTTGAGCATACAAATCTTGCAGGATCAAAACTCATGTTTTGTCACTTTTTAAATTGTTTCAGTTTTCACAACTTTTCTCAGTAGTGCATGGATAGTAGGTGGTGCCTTTTCGCCAAGGATTTAAGACATGGGTGGGCTATGCTGAACTACCAATGGTTCAGTGAACTAGGCATATTCCACACCCATTTTGACACATAGTTTATTTAATTTCTAATCACAGTATCTACATACAACTAGTTGAACAAAGATAAAAGATGAGAAGAATCTCTTCAAATGATAATGGTAAGTTTTTTTTTATTTTTTTACTTTAAAAATGCATAGTAAAAGGCAAAATACAATTCCAAGTAAACAATTACACTTTTTTAAAAATGGAAAAAGTATAATCATCTGAAAATTAAAGCTATTGTTTGTTAATCCTAGACACTTTTTCTGCTTGAAGATGGGAGTCCTCCAGTCCATGCACAAAATATTGAATATTATATGATATAGTATCTTCTACTATTGTATCTGACAATATTCATGTTTCTGTGGCAAAGGCAGTTCAGTGATACACATAACTGTCCAGTGTACAACCTCATTGCTTTTTATTCTTTCCAGGAAATGAAATGATGTCATACGATGTCATAAACAATCAAGGATTCGAGTAGATAGTCAAAATTTAACAAATGATCTGAATAATCAGGCTGCTAACAAAACTGTAACAGTTTACAAGAAGTAAATCCTGAGAGATTATATAAAAGATATTTTCTTTCACAAATAAAGTACACCCAAGTTTACATTCAATACAGAAATAAAAAGTCATCGTAGCCTACAAAACTATCATAGTAAGAAAAATACAATGTCCATCATGGGAACCTAAAGTACATATAGATACACAGTTTGAATTGCAAATACAAACTCATATCTTCACTCTTCCTACCTTTCCCTTCTAAACGTTGAGTTGCATTTTAGACAATTAAATTTCAACCAGCTTTATTAATGGCCTTATATTTCAGTGTTCATACCAGCTCTGATAAATATTTTAAGCCATTATGTAAATTGTATTTAATTTAAATCCTGATCTTTTGCTTGTTATATGGAAGTATGTCTAACAAACAGGATGTGACTTGCTTTCAAAAATATTAGGGCTACTATCTGCCTTAATAGCTATACTAGCTATTTTAAAAATCCTGTCACTATATTTTAATGCAATATTGTGTGAAACTGCTGTCTTCACATTTGTATTAGTAAACATGAAATGGTGCACATCCAGCATGTTTTTCTGGTTTCTCTGTACAAGCCTAGTTTTTATTACTTTATGGTCCTCCTCCTGTTTTGCAATCTTCCTAAAACTTACTGTCCTACAGTTGCTATTTTGCAATTACAAAAATGCCTTGTTTCTAATGTACACAAAACACTGTTCAAATAATAATGCTGTGCTTAGTTCAATGATGTATATCTTTATGTATATAGTATAAAATTTAAAGCTTTTTTTTTAAGATAGCATGTATAGTAAACTCATAATGTTATCAAAAGTATTAAAAGGAAACCATGAAATTAGAAAAAATTGCATAGGATACAGTTTGCTTCACAAAAGAAACTTTCATTGCCTGCAAAACTCACTAGTAACATTTGGAAGGGAATATGCAAATAAAGAGAAATCCAGAATATATTTCGGTAATAGCTGTTTTATAAGTTCTTTTGGAGTATTACACATATAATAATGCAGAGTTTCCGGACTTACAGGCTTATACCATGCTTGCCTTTCTGGGAAACGTATAAAGGATGGTGCTTGTACTCTTTCAAGAACAAAATTGGCATCTTCTTCAAGTCTCCCATAGGATCCTATGAAATCATACTTTACAGCACAGGGTTGACACAGGTTGTAAATTGGCATCCAATGTTCATTCATTTTTTCTGTTTCTTCATCTATGAGATACCGGAGAAATTCAGAAAAGGTGACATCATCACCCATGCTTTTTCCAATGTTTTTCCTATACCTTTTGACTATTTCTAAACCATATTTTAACTGATATTCTTTAATCTCACCAAATTTATTCCTATAAGCAGACAAAAGTCTTTCCATTGGGTCTCTGACAAACACAAATTTGAAATAGTGGTTTAATCGATAACGAATCTCATCTGGTTTCATGTCATTTAAAAAAACTAAATCCTTTTTGTGATCCATCTTAAGTTTAATATCTACATTCTCCAATGCACCATCTAAAACTTTCAAAATCCGTTTCCAGTTGGAGCAAGCCACTTTGGGAACATAACAGTATAAAAAACGATGTTTGTCACTAACCAGGATATGTTTGAGCACTGTCCTCCTCTGGCCTGCTGACAGATCCCAAATGGTGCGGGGCATGTTTTTTTGTCTGCAAATGGTATGGATTGTCCTATTTCGGATGTCCTGGAGCACTTGGTAATCCATATCTCTTGCTGTTTTCCTACTGCCAGTTCTCCAAAACATTTCTTTAGCAGAGGGGTGGAGGGGTGGGGGCTTCATCTCAGCCAAAATTCCCTTCTCAATCATGAGGAGTAAGCCACTAGATGCCACAATTACACCAAACATCAACATGGAAGGCAGTAGCATAGTGTTACTGGTACCACGAGAACGATTCTTGATAGACAAGGTTGTCCGACGCACCGAAGTCACACCCATCTCTTTAGTTCTTGTCACTAAAGTAGCAGGGGCTGTGGAAACATGGTCTGGAATCTCAGGTGGTGGCAGCAGAAATTTGAGGCTAAATATGCTATTGCCACTGACGTTGCTTTGGATGGATTGGAGACGAAGGCTTTATATCAATAGTAGTGCTGTTGGCAGCTGCTTTAATTAGTCTGGCCCAGTTCAGCTCAACAGATGTCTTCAGTGAAGCAACAGTAGGGCTCCTAAATTGGTGAGCTGGCATAGTCCATGAGACAAAAGAAAGAAAATGGGAGATCCCAGACTTTTTTCTTTGTGCCTGCAGGGCAGCTGCTGAAAAAGATTGGATGGGCTAATTTTTTTGCAAAATCAGGAAGGGCGGCTGCCGGCAGTGACGGCTTGGCAGGGAGGGCCTATTCCTGCAATTGGAGCCTATTTACCCCTCCTCTTTCTCTTTGTAGCTGCAGCATTTGCAGACTTCCTGGGGAGAACGCTCAGAGTATAAGTGAACAGGCGAAAGACAACGTATACTCAACTGCTTTCCTCCTTTCATATGATTGCCTGCAGATCCCTCTGGGCAGCAGAGTGAGATGTCAGTCCCAGTTTATTCCAGGCTTTCCAGAAAAAAAGAGAAAGAATCCCAGTTTATTCCAGGCTTTTCAGAGAAAAGAAAAAGAAGCAAAGATCAAAACAACTAATGCAGTCTCAGTACAATATCCACAATTTCATAAAAAAAATAATTCACAATAGGGAAATACAATCATAAATAGGGACAATTTGCATGCCAGAAAGTATGCAACTCCTTTGCGAGGGGGAGGAAGGAACTTTTAAATGAGTAATTCTTAATGCAGACAACTTAGTCTAGTCTATATCCTCAGTATAGTCTATATCCAAACTCTTAACACCAGCCATCATTTGGTGATAACATGCTTATGAGTTTAAAATTGCTTACTGTTACACAAATATAAATACAGTGTTGATATGATGGTAGCTTGCTGCTAATGGAACAGTTACATAGGATGTAATTGAATGGATTTCACTGACTTCCAAATAACCATTTGAAAATATACCATTATAGTTTATATAACATAATCTGCAAGCAGCACTCCACATATGACAAATGGGACAAACTTTGAGCAAAAGAATTAATGAATTAAGTTTTAAATTAGGACCAAAACCAAGAATATCTGAGCATTTCAACATCCTCGGATACACAATAGACCTGGGAATGACTGCATCATTAGTCTGCTGAAAAGAGCATGGAACAGTGTTCTTGTGGGAAGCCTTTTGAACAGTCTTGCCTGAATGCTTGTGAAATTCTATTTTTCTGGTATCCCTGTTTTGTCAGGATACCAAATGGCAGAAATAACATGCTAGGCAGCAGAGAAAATAGAAGTAATCAAATACATGGAGAACAGTTGGATAAAGAAGTTAAAAAAAAAAAAGCTACAATGGAGAATCTTGGACTGTAGACTGCTGATAATAACAGGGATAAAAAAACAACTGCTTCAAGTCTTGGCATTTCTGTAGTAACACACTTCTGAACATATCCCATAAATTTCTGGCAATAAAATATGCTGGGCACTGCTGAGTAGAAAAACTTATAAGAATTTGAATATTTTAGACAACTGTAATACTATAATCCAGTCTGTTAGTGGTTTTCAAAACAAACAAATAAACAAAGTCAGGCATACAGGAAATTGAATAACAGTCATCTGGGTAGAAATAAGTTCTGGATTATCTAAGCCTATTCTTTATTCAAGGAATTAAATGAATTTGAAAACCTAGGAACAGGGAAAGGACATTCAATATATGTATTATATTTTTCAGTGATGCAGTGTGTAAAACAATGTGATAAAGTGCATACTTGAATTGGAATCTGAAGTAGATTGCTCAACATAAAAAGTGCTGAAAAATATTTTCCCACTGATTACTATGCATTCCTACATCATAGAATAATACTATGAATGCTCTATTTTCTATATTTTCAAGAGACGAAAATATTCCTTGGGAAAGAAAGGATATTCAAATCCCACCAGGCTCAAGTTAACTCAGCCTTCAATCCTTATGAAGTGGATAAAATGAGGACCCAGATTGTTAGGGGCTGTAAAACCACTTAGAGGGGGCTATAAAGCACTATAAAGCAGTATATGTCTAGAGTTATTGCTATTAAAATGTAGACTTTGATTTAAATGAGTTTGATCAAATAGCTTAATGGTTTGATGTCAGCTGAAATTTGTGATTAAAATAAATATTTTAATGTTAAAGAAACAGCCTAAGAATTCTGAAAAGCAATACAAACTACCAAGGTTGTTTAAGATAATAATTTGCCAAAGGATATATTAGTAGGGCTTAGCATCGTGTTTATAAAAATTACTCAACCAGGAAAATCGCTTGAGGGAAATCTGGAAAGAAAATAGATTGTATACTTTTTGAAAAGTTCTTTTGGTAAGAAAAGTTACAATTCCTTTTATATGTTGTCCTCATAATTAATGTGTCTGTGTGTGTATATATATATGTGTGTTTTCTCAAGTTTTCGCGGGTACTTACATGTATGGCATTCAGCTTTGTTCGGGTATTTTCCCACATCATTGTAGTTGTGCTTTTAAAGTTGTAGCAACGTTTCGGCAGAATCTCATCTGCCATCATCAGGCTTCTGTATAGTGTTCATCTTTGAGTCAGACTTTTACAGTGGTTTCAGATTTAAATTTGGGGCAGCCTATTGCTGTGCCAGAATGGTTTTTTCTTCATCTTGATTGGTTGGGAGTCTTGGTCTGTGTTTATTGGTCTTGGAGTTTGCTGTGTTCTGCTTGATTGGTGTTTCTAATATCTTCTGTCTGTTTTGTGGCTCTTTTTGTATCTTGATTGGCTGGCAACATTGTGTTACTTTATTGGAGGCCTTTAGTGCAGCTTGGCTCCGGGTAAATGGACAGCTATCATTAATTAGGAAGCTAGGTTTCATCTGGGTGTCTGGTTGGGGTGTGTTTGAGTTGGAGGTATCAGGGGGGATCTGTTTGTGCCCAGGTGCTTGTCTGGCTAGTGGTGTGGAGATTTTTTTGTTTGTGAGTGCAGGCTTCCAAATGATTGACAGTCTGGTGGAATCATCTCTTCTATTCATGCACCAGACTGTCAATCATTTGGAAGCCTTCATTCACAAATAAAAAAATCTCCACACCACTAGCCAGACAAGCACCTGGGCACAAACAGATCCCCCCTGATACCTCCAACTCAAACACACCCCAACCAGACACCCAGATGAAACCTAGCTTCCTAACTAATGATAGCTGTCCATTTACCCGGAGCCAAGCTGCACTAAAGGCCTCCAATAAAGTAACACAATGTTGGGGGAGAGACCAAGACTCCCAACCAATCAGGATGAAGAAAAAAACATTCTGGCACAGCAATAGGCTGCCCCAAATTTAAATCTGAAACCACTGTAAAAGTCTGACTCACAGATGAACACTATACAGAAGCCTGATGATGCCAGGTGAGATTCTGCCGAAACGTCGCTACAACTTTAAAAGCACAACTACTATGACGTGGGAAAATACCCGAGCAAAGCCAAATGCCATACATACATATACATACATACATACATACATGTGTGTGTGTGTGTGTGTGTGTGTGTGTATGTGTGTGTGTGTGTGTATAATATATTACATACACACACACATAATATATCCATCATGGTTGTGCTCCAGCCAAAGGAAAACTACAGTTCCAGAATACCTTGCTCCTGAGATGGAGACTCTATCATATTTTTGAACAAGCCCACTTCCTAACTAACTAGCACAAAAAGAAAAGACCACTCCCCGATTGTTGTTTCAGTATATATTGAAAAAGGAATTTTTTTAGTAAAGAAAAGTTCCTCACTTTAGTACCTTGTCCCATCCTAACTTTTGCAGTTTGAAGTCACCCAGACTGTGAGATGGGAAGCATATCAATTAAATAATAAGAGTTCTGTAGCCTGGTCCTGGTGTGATAATTGGTTTGGACGAAGTTATAAGCATATAATCTAAAATCAATAATGCTAACACTGAAGAGATTCCTTCCTCCCCATTTAATGGCTGCCCATATATGCAGGAAAAAATTAAGACTTTACTATGTCTATATGACTATTAATTTACAATTGCTTTCTTTCTACTAACAGAATTTGTAGTATCTGTAAAACAACTAATCAAAAGCCATGTCCTTAAATCTCTGGGTCTAATTTCCAATAGTGGGTTGGTGAAGCCTCACACCCATATCTTTTGTTCCTCTTTTCAAAACACAGGAGTCTCTTCTTGTAAGCAGGCAGATAGAAAGATAGAAAACTAATATCTAACAATATAAATGTTTCCTTCATCAGTATCATCAGCTCAGATGTTGCCCCGCTCTTTCTGCTTTCTTTCATCACCCTCCCCTTTCCAGACCCTCAAATGGAAGAATTTGTTCAGATAAAGTTGTTGTGACCTATAAAATAACTAAGAAAGGAAAAAAAATTGTAATAATATAATCCAGTATAATGAAGAACAAAGATGAATCTTAACAAGTTTTGAGGAAGGCTATCCTATTTAATCCACAAGAATCTGGATGATTTTTATATTGTATGAAAGCAAAGACAGAAAACTCTGAACATATGTTGCCACATAGTGGTCATCTGAATGTTTGCAGCCCAGACATGGGAACTTTTAGAAACTTGGTATTAACACACTTTTCAAAAAACTGGAAATAAATAGAAACAATATAAAACTTGAAGACTAATATAACTATGATGTCACAATCATTTCAGAGAGGGGAAGGAATACTGCAGTATATCTGGTATTGCAATGTTCGATTTTTATTTTTTGAAGTGTGATCTACCGTATACTTTAAACAATTTAAATGGCCATCCATTTCACTTCTTTGAGTGGAGAATAGAAATTTATACTTAGAAATAAACAAAAATTATGCAATTTATCAAAAAGTATAACCCACAAATTACCATGTGCTAGAGGTTCAAACAAAATCATTTCATTTTACCAACACTAAAAAGTAAAAACCACAATGTTTGCAATTCCTTTTATGCTAAAGCAAAAACTAACATTCATATAGTTAATTTTTTAAGTTCAACACGGAACTGAAATAAATTTTAAAAATTGTTAAACACAATTTTCCATTAATACACAAATTAGCCTGCATGTTTTGTCTGGATGGGGGGAACGCGATTCTAGGGGACGCGGTTTCCCTAGAGCTGAAAACTACTATCACGTATGTGCGAGGGGAACCTTACTGTCTAGAACCATTTCTCAATTTGGACTTAGAATTTTGTGACAATACACCCTTTTATTACCTTTCGTTCCTGTTTCTTCCTTACAGAAATTGAGCTTTTAAAGCTCCTCAGCCTCTTTCTGTAGGATAGGCCGGGGAAACTGGCTATTCAAGTTGATCATAATGGGCTACAGGATACCACATCGAGATGCTGCTAAAAGCAAGAGAAAAACCAAACCAAGCAATCACATCAGATTTCGCAGCAAGAGACAAGACTTTTTCCCTCAAGGTTAATTAAGGGTTAATACCATAGATATGACCCTACAGCACGTAGAAAAAGGAAGTCTGGGTAGAATAAAAAGTTTTAGATTGCAATTTGATAGGAAAAGGGCAAGGAAGGATAAAGAGAAACAACCTCTTTAAAAACGTTAATCTGTACTGGAATGTTACACTTCCAATAAGAAAAGAAAGTTAATTTGGCGTATAGGAAAAAATCCGGCCACCAAAGATTCCTTCCAAAAAATCTTCTCAAAGATTGGCTTTCATTGCCCACGTGATCCAGCAGAGGCTTATGACTGGTTACTTTTTGCGCGTGTTGTGAAGACTTCTTAAGGGCAAGTGGAAGGTGGGACAAACCGTTGGTGAGGTGCTAACTGAGAGGAGGAAAAAAAGCGCCTGACTCCGAAAGTTCCCGCCTACAATGACTCCTGAATTGCGTTGTGGACTTTGATTGGGTTTAGAAATATTAGGGTGTAATTGTATGTGAGTGAGTGACAAAGCTTGGAGCTGTTGCCCTAGGAGTGGTTTTCATCGCCAGGAGTTTCATTTTCTATTGAAACGATTCGGTTGTGGGCAAGAACGGTATGCGCTTTTTCATTCCCTTTCTGATTGGGATAGGGGAACTCAAGGGGATTTCTTGAGCTGGTCGGAAAGAGGGGTCGTTTCGCTGACTAAACCGTGATTCCACGAGAGTTAATGGTGCAGTGTTCTGCGGAGCCGTTCATACATTGCCTTTGTGTAATACCTTTACCCATTTTTCCTTTTTTTGGGGGGGGGGAGCGATTAGCACAACACGGTACGCTAAATGCATGTCCGAGCTTGCCCAACGTTCTAGACTAAAAGATGATCCAGTTTTATCATAGGCGTGTACTCCAGAGGCCTGCCTTAATTTGGGCACCCTGTCAGAATAAGCCACATTGAATACAGTGTTTCTAAAGCGTCATTAACAGGTGTATGATTTTTCAGCAGAAGGTAGAAGAGTTATTAATTGTATTCCAGCTATTCCTGAAATCCCTATTATACTTGCAGATATGACTTACGACCACAACTGAGCCCAACATTCCTGTTTCTAAGTTAGATGAATTTTGCCCCATTTTACTATCTTTCTTGCCACAGTTAAGTGAATCATTGTAGTTGATAATTTAGCAATATGGCTGATAAGTGAATTTGGCTTCCCCATTGATTTTGCTTGTCCAAAGGTTGCAAAAGATGATCACATGACTTGGGACACAGCAAAAGTCATAAGAATGAACCAGTTGCCAAGCATCTGAATTTTGATCATGTGACCGTGAAGTTGCTGCAAGTGTGAAAAACAGTCATGTCACTTTTTTTCAGTTGTAACTTCAAACAATCAATAAATTATTGAGAACTGTCTGTACTTTATTGTGTAATTATGTGTAGGATTGCATTATAAAATGTTACTCCTTTCAAAATGATTTCCTGTAGTAAAACACTTTTTGTCTTAATGTGTGCATTTTTCTGCATTTAGGAATTTCCTTTTCAAAGTGAATGGTGTTCACATGGACAAATGATTAACTAATATGGCCTGCAGAAGAGAAGGAATTCAAGAACAGCTTCTCTCTTCCATCATTTCAACTATAAATTCTCATAAGTCTCCAGCGTGTGCCAGTCAAGTTCATAGAATATGTATGGTGTCTGACTTTTTTTATCCAAACATGGGTGGAGTGGAAAGCCATATTTACCAGTTGTCACAGTGCCTAATTGAAAGAGGACACAAAGTTATTGTAGTCACCCATGCTTACGATGATCGTAAAGGCATTCGATACCTCACCAATGGACTAAAAGTCTACTATTTACCATTAACAGTAATGTATAACCAATCTACAGCCACTACCCTTTTTCACAGTCTGCCTCTGCTCAGGTACATATTTATTCGAGAAAGAATCACCATTGTCCATGCACATAGTTCATTTTCTTCTTTGGCTCATGATGCACTATTTCATGCTAAGACAATGCAGCTACGGACAATTTTTACAGATCATTCACTTTTTGGATTTGCTGATGTCAGTTCAGTGCTTACAAATAAACTCTTGACTGTATCACTATGTGATACAAACCACATAATATGTGTTTCTTACACAAGCAAAGAGAATACTGTATTAAGAGCAGCACTTAATCCAGAAATAGTTTCTGTCATCCCTAATGCTGTTGATCCTACTGACTTCACTCCAGATGCATCTAAACGTGACAAGAACACAATAACTATTGTTGTGGTTAGCAGACTTGTATATAGAAAAGGTAATAAGGTTGGAAGGGTAAGATGTATTTAAATGTTTTTTTAATGTGAATGGATCAGAAATTACTGATTTTACATTTTAAATATAATTAAATATTTTGCATGACATAAGGGATGATTTTTTTTAAACCCTCAGATGTTTCTGTCTTCTCTGAACTTGATTTTAAACCCATGACAGATGTAATTTAATTCTGGATTAATATGTAGTGTGATATGGATTGAATCTATAAACTGGATAAACTGTAAACAATTTGAGGGAGAGGGAGGGAGGAAAGAGATGGTGTTATTTTGCATGGTCTTTAAATTTTAAGCAAAGGTCTTAAATGTAATTTAAATATAAGAAATGGCAGCATCTTGCTGAATTGTAAATCTGCAGTAATAGCTGTAAAAAATGAAGGCTAAACTGGTTTCTAACTTATTTATAAATTAGAAATATTGTAAATATCTAATATGGGCATTCCTGTACCAAAAACACAATGAGAAATAGATGTTTAATGGGGTTTTTTTTTCATAAAAAAGATTGCTTCAGACAAAAATTTCTACAGGCATATTTTTCAAGATTGGTGTAACAGGTTTTGAATGAGTACCCTATTCTTTTAGAGATTTTAGTTTAGGACCAAGAAAATCTTCACTGAGTAATACAATTTACTAGATAATCTTGCACCAATGCATTTCTCAAGCTAATCTTTTCTGTAAGCTTGTGATTGAAAATTAGTGGAAAAGATATCTGTAGATGTATATGACTGAATGTTCTTCAAAAATGTACTCTCTTGATATGCCAGTGTTATTTTCCAAAAATGGCTAGTGCTAGATCAGAATCTGAATTAATTGAATATAATAAAAATTAAGATTAAATTAATTAAAAATGATGAACAACTATTCCTTGTATATTATATTTTCCTTGCTACTGCATTAAAATTAAAGTTTAGTGACAATGTTCAGGGGAGCTGTGGTCATATAACAGTGATTACCAACCTATGGTCTGCGAAGGCTTGAAGAAATGTTATGATTTAAATCTTGAGTTAAGTCTTTGTGCTCAATGGCCATGGTCTGTGGCCACAAAATGTTATTTAAAGGGAGTCTGTGGTTAAAAAAAAAAAGTTGAGAACAACTGACACATAATGTTTCACATTGTGGTGGATTGGGATTGGCAACATGACATCCCAAATAATTAAAAGATGACCACTGACTTCCAAAATTAAAATAATCTTTTTGCATGGCATTCTTGATGTTCAGAACATTTTGAAGTGTTTAAATAATAAGTGCTTTATTTCTTTTTAAATATAAGGCATAGCGGTATTTTCACTTTAAAGATTGCCATTAATCTGGAGCTTTACAGTTTTTATTTTATTCTAAATGAAATGAAGAATGTTATTGAAAATAAGATTACTGTTTATAAGAAGAGTAGGTTGTATATACCCTTGAACTCAAAATTTTGCTCATATTTTGTTACAGTTCAGCGGTTCACTATGTTACTTGACTCAATTTTATGACTTTTTTTATGATAGTTATAAAACAAACCATTCGGTCATTAAGCAAATCATGTAGTCTTTAAGCAAAATCAGCATATCTAATTAGCATTGTATGCTGGAAAGCAGCTAGAACAGGGCTGAATGTGCGACACACTGGCCACACCCATGCCTGGTTTAGTGAAGGGGAAAAATGTTCTGATACGTCACGTGATGCTGCCATGATGCCGTGAATTTGACACCCCTGAGCTAGTAGTTCTCATATTACAGTCTTATGACACTAGGATATTGCAACTGTTCATAATTGCAAGCTGGTTGCCAAGCTGAAAAGGCAATCACAATTGCAAGGGGTAGTGGTAGTATGAGAGTCATAATTTTCAGCAACGGTTGTAAGTATCTTTTTCAAAGTCTCTCATAATTTTGAATGGAAATTATACAAATGGTCATTAAGCAATGACCACATGTAATGTGTAACAGAAAAATAAAACTATATGAGGTTGGTCAGCAGCATATAGAAAATCTTTTGAAATTCTGTCCTGGAAGATCATTTATAATCATGCAATATTAATATAATACAGGCAAAATTGTACTTTGGTTTTGAAATTCTGAAAGTTAAGCAGTGGTGAAATGATTAATAAAAAAGATTATTGCTTAATAAATCATTTTATATAAAACTGAATAAATATTTTTCCTTTAGGTATTGATTTACTTAGTGGTATAATTCCTGAGCTATGTCAGAAGTATCCAGATTTACATTTCTTAGTTGGAGGAGAAGGACCAAAAAGAATTGTATTAGAAGAAGTACGGGAAAGATATCAATTACATGAAAGGTATGTTTTCTGCATTGCGTTTAATATAGTCAAATTATCAAAAGATTTAGCAGAGAAATGAAGAAAGGAATAAGATGATGATTTTACACAATAATATTGGTTTGTTTACACATGCATACCTATCATGTTATTCTGTTTGAAAAGTGCAGAAAAGGTATAAGAACTAGTAAGTAAAAAAAAAGGACAGAAAATAAATTATGGCTAAATCTAAGTTTATATCAGCTGCATTTATTGTATGCCTTTCTGTGATTTCATACTCAGCTTGAAAATATATTTTAGTTTTCTGCAATAAATGCTCCCCTGAGATTATAACCTTGATTGTGGAAATTTTAAATAAGCTAGTAAAGTATTTGATTGTTTTATATATTTATATTTCTTTGGAGATGTTGCAGTGTTTTCTGTGCATAAACCTCTCTGCTCATTGGTGGCAGTATATATCAAGTCTTAATGGAAAAAGTAGCCAAATGAATTGGATCATCCTTAAATACCCTGGCTTTTGTTATTCATAAGCTACTTTTGAATTGTTTTCTTATGATTATTTGGAACAGTTTATCATGTCATGTTTCTTTTCTTAGATCCTTATAAATTATCTTCATGTTCAGGAGGATATCTTCTGAATACAGGTAGTCCCCGATTTACAACAGCCATGAGCCCAACATTTCTGTGGCTCAGTAAGACATTTGTTAAGTCAGTGTTGCCCCATTTTATGACTTTTTTGCCATAGTTAAGTGAATCACTGCAGTTGATAAGTTAGTAACCCAATTGTTACATGAATCTTGCTCCCCCATTGACTTTGCTTGTTGGAAGGTCACAAAAAGTGATCACATGACCTTGAGATACAGCATTGGTCTAAATATGAACCAGTTGCCAAACAATTTTGATCACATAATCGTGGGGATATTGCAAATGTCATAACTGTGAAAAATGGTCATAAGTCACATTTTTCAGTGCTGTTGTAACTTTGAAGGGTCACTGAATGAACTGTTGTAAGTCAAGGACTACATGTCTTTTCAGTGTGAAAATGCAGATGGATACAGCTCTAATACTGAAATAACTTATGAATAACTCAAAAAAACCCACCCACCATGAAGCATCAATAGAAATTATTTTAAAGAGAAAATTTGAAAGCTGTTTCTCCTGATTATTTTTTCTAATATATATTACTTAGAAAATAAATGAAATATTCTTTGTAAAAATATTGAGAACTGCAGTGACCTATGAGATAATGTTTGGATGAACTTAGAATTCATTATTTTGTTTCTCTGTACTTGACTATTGAATAGTTATAATATTGCTGAACCAATATTTAGCATTTTAGCCATCTTTGAAGACAAGAGTTGGGAAAATTGAAAATATGAAATTAAAGACTTTGAAAATTCCTGAATTAGTAGAATTAGTAGTTTATTCATAATCCAGTTCTATTGATTTCAGGTTTAGTTGTAAGTATTTATCTTGGACTGTGATTGTCAACTTATAAAATATTATGGTCTTTTTAAAGTTCCCAGTGATTTTCTCCATTGATGAAAATACTTGTATCAATATTTTCTTTACCTGTTTTCCAAAACTTTATAGAGTTCGTCTTCTAGGAGCTTTAGAACATCAGGAAGTTAGAAATGTCTTGGTTCAAGGTCATATTTTTCTTAACACCTCTCTCACAGAAGCATTTTGTATGGCAATTGTGGAAGCTGCCAGTTGTGGTTTACAGGTAAAACTTATTGTTATTCCAAAAAACTAAATAGACCATTTTCTTAAGAATTTAATAAAACTATGATAGGAACATGGCATTGTAGTAGTGGTATTCTACCGATTCGCCCCTGGTTTTTCTGAGCTGGTAGTGGCGATGAGCAGCGGAGACCGAATTCGTTGTCTCCGCCGCTCTGCTGTTGGCTCCACCCGCCTACCCGGGCTCCCATACTCAGCTTTATCTTCTGTTTTTGAAGCGCAACTGCTTGGTGCAGCACAGAAGAGTGCTGCGCAGCAGCTGCTGAAGCAATCAGGAGAGTGCAGGCTTGCAGGAAGTGAGTTGGAACGCCTCTGCGCCTGCATAAACGTCTCTGCGCCCAGCAAGCCACACCCACCAAACTGGTGGTAAAAGTTTTTTAATCCCACCACTGCATTGTAGCAGAGATTGGTGACCAGACATTGAATTCTAGCCAGTGGAATTTTCTCTGAACAAGGAGAGACCCTGATATTACTCACTTGCACTCTAGACAGCTGCTACTCATGAGGAGACCACAAGAATTGTGGGGTTTAGTGGCTGGAAGTCAAGGGAGTTCAATCATACTCATCACTGCAGTGCAGCCCTTAATGAATATAAGAGTTGCAAAAGCCTTGTTTTCTTAATCTCTATCAGATGCAATCAATTTAAAGTAAAAGAGAGATCTTCCAAATGTCAGGATAAGGGAAAATCATTTGGTGAATTTCTGATAAAACTTTAAAAAAGTAATGTAAAAAGAAAGGGACAGTAGTTTTGAAAGATTAATTCTTGGCAAAAGCGCTTTTAAAACTATTGGAGCTAAGTCAACATGTAGATTAGACTTTTGTAGAATGTTGTTTCTTTAATAGTAAATAAATAATCAGCGGATTTGACAAAACAAAAGATGAATATGAGACAGATTGTATGACTAATTATGGAATATCAAATGAGACTTAAGTATTAAGGACAAAGAAACGCAAAATAAAAAACAAATGGGGGAACCCTATAATTTGGTATGCTAACAGGTTTTAAGATTAAGAATTAGGAGAAAGAAATGCTTACAAAAATAAAGCATCAAACAAATAATGAAGAAAATTGGTTTTAAGATTGAGAATAAAGTAAAATATTTGAGTATTACTATCATAAATATTAATTATATTATTGCAAAATCACTATATGGAATGAAAGGACATGCTTATATGAGAGAAAATAAATTTGTCTTTATTGGGAAGAATTTCTGTGATGAAAATAAATGTTCTGCCTGGAATGATAGTTTTGTTTCAGACACTACCTGTTTTGACAACTGATAGACCAGCGGTGTCAAACTACTTTTCTACTCTACTTTTTGTGCCACAAATTGCCTAGCAAAAGCATAATAATTTATCTGTTGTTTCAGGTGGTCAGTACAAGAGTTGGTGGGATTCCTGAAGTACTTCCAGATGATTTTATAATTTTGTGTGAACCTTCAGTGAAATCCCTCTGTAGTGGATTGGAAAAGGCTATTAGCCAACTGAAGTCAGGATCATTATTGTCTCCAGAAATTATGCATGACAAAGTTAGAACATTCTACACTTGGAGAAATGTTGCAAAAAGAACTGAAAAAGTGGGTGAACGTTCTTGTTTGAAAATTCTATATTCATTTGAGAACATCTTCATGCTTTCTAATAGTTTATCTCATTGTGGAAATTTAATTATATTGTTTTCTTTATGCACTTAACCTGTAGCCAGTTATCTTACATATAGGGAATTTGGTATGCCAGAATAAGTATAGACAAGGGACTTATCAATTAATTGTGTCCTAGCTCACATGGCAAATTTCTGCCAATAGCAGTTTGCAGATATCCATCTGATATTCCAATCTCATTTTTATGAACTACTTGTCCAGTGTATCTTAATTATTTTAAAACCTACTTGCTGTCCTATTAAGATTGGAGTTATTGCATATGAGTAGGAGAAATTTCTTCCACAATCCTTTGCTTTGGAAAAATAATCTTTGGGAGCCAAAGATTATCTGTAGCACAAAACCATGACCAGTTGATGCTGCTGCTATAAAAGTTATTCTTTATAGGTTGTTCGTAACATCTGGTTTTATGTCCAGAGATCTGAAGAGAGAGTTATCATGGTCTGATTAGTTTATTATCCATATTCATTTGTAAATGTAATTATATTCTGTAATTATATTTAATAATACATTTGTAATCATAATCCAGTTTCGGTTAGATGCCAAATCCTACCATATTATGGATAGGAAATATGTAAAATTACTTGAATGACAAATTGTAGGAATCTGTAGATTATTTAGGAAAACACCTGAAAAATTAGGGAAATAAAGAGATCCTCTAGCTGACTCCTTTGGATATATCAAAGAATATTCTCTAGTGTAATCTAGTATTATATTTATAATATGTTTATGATCAAGAATGAGTGACTTTGAGTTAATGCAATTTACATATTGCAAACAAACCTGATTAAGGTATATGTCTTCCTCTAGGTATACAACAGAGTGGCAAATGAATCTGTATTGCCAATGGGCAAACGACTTGAGAGACTTATCACTCATTGTGGTCCAGTGACTGGTTACATTTTTGCTCTTTTGGCCATGCTCAGCTTTCTTTTTCTGATATTTCTGAAATGGCTGATACCAGATGATTTTATTGATACTGCAATAGATGCCACAGGTCTAAACGGAGCATGGACTAGAAAATTTTTCCACAATAAAAAGAAAAAAGAAAACATTACAAACTCCTAAAGGTGCTAAAAGTGAAAAAAAAAAGTTTAATTCCCTTACTTGTCTTTTACTATTATGCGTTTGCTGTTAAATTTACACTTATCAAGTGCTTATATGTCATTGGACAGCTTTCATAATGAATGGAAAGAAACAAAGTTCTACCTCAGCATAAATCTAAATTGGTTTAGGAAAGACATTTTCCCAAGATATGCTGCGAAATCTGTTTACATTTATTTCAGCTTGAAATATCTTACAAATACATGGAATATCATGTCCATTAATGAAAGAGATCATCTAAAAAACTAAGGGGAAAAATAGGTGAGTAGGTAGAGATTTTGTCTGTTTAGAGTTTTTTCTGTTTTTAATTTCTCTTGCACCATGATTATATAATTAAAAATTATATGAAAAAGTAGCAGTATATGTTCTGATCCAGTATAATACAAAAAAACCCCTGACTTTAAATATAGTTCCCAAGTCTACTTGTTGAGATGTGTGATCAATTTGGTATATTGATATGATCAACTAAAATTGAGACATGCACAACTTGTGAAGTTGGGAGAATATTCTCTTTGTTTAAGCATCTACAGGTAATCATCAAATTACGACGTCGAATTAAGAGACTGTTCAAAGTTACAACAACCCCCCCCCCCCAAGTACTTACTATACAGTCCCAAAGTTATGAATGTTGTAGCACCTTTATGAACGACTGCAGAGGCACTATAACATTCACCTTGCCTATAACCTACTCACTCTTGATCAGGTCTCCACAGGTACTGGGCCTGTAGATACTCACCTTGTGAAGATCTATTGAGGCTTCAGTTTCTTGCCCTGCTTCAGGCCCTCAGTGCATTTGCAGCGAATGGAGGCCTAAAGTACCATAAGATCATGCAAGATCAGTAGTGCAAGATCTCACTGTACTGATCTTGTGTGATCTCATGGTACTTTAGGCCTCTGTTCTCTGCAAATGGAGGCCTACATGGTATCTGCAACAAAAGACTTTGCAAATGGAGGGAAGTCCTGAACCAATGAAGTCTTCCCTCTTTCCAAAGCCTTTTGTCATCTTTGCAAAAAACCTTTGCTGCCAAAAACAGCCTGGGAGGGGCACGCATGTCCCTGCAGGCTTCCATTTATGGCAGCAAAGTCCTTTCCTCAGGGTCTTTGCCTCTGAGAATGGACCCTCTCCCAGCCTCTGTTCTCGGCAGCAAAGGCTTTTCGCAAAAATGACTGGTGCCTACAGGGATAATCTCTCATCCCTGCAGGCCTCAGCAAACCTTTGCTTAAGGCAAAACCCTGGCAGAGAGGCTGGAAAGGAGATAGCTGTCTTGACCATCGAGATCTATGTAAGGTAAGTGACCAGGTTGGGGCAGGAAGCATGAGATATCTCAGTGGGTCAGGGGAGACTTTGTTTTATCTGAAGCACTCCCCCCCCCCCCCCCCCCGGCCTTCCCCACCCGACACCTTGTTCCCCACCCTGAGTTACCTCCAAATGCATGGGTGAAAGCAGGAGAGATTCAAGTTATGTGATACATTCAAGTTATGTGATACATTCCTATGAATCCTCAGATTATGAATGTCATTGGCAGGCTCCATTACTTTTGTAACTCGATTACCTGTATCATTCATTTTGATAGTTTGAAAACAAGTATAATTGACATATCCTGAATTTTTCTCTGCCAATATTTTTGAAGCTTTCAGAAGAAGGTTCCAAGTTCTTCCAAGACCCAAGAGTAGGTATTTTGAATCTACTTTTATAACACAGTTGAGACACAATGAAAAAACACTCTTTTTACATTAATAAGGCCCAGCATCATGTTCATTTTTCTTCTTTTATTTTTAAATAGAAATGTATAGGTGAGTATTAAAACTCATTCCAACAAATATTTCCATGACAAGATTGCCATATTTAGAGTAAAAACAGGTGCTTCAGTCCTTTCCTATATGTGACCCTTGTCTGAATAATTTTGCTTATGCTATTTTATTTCTACTACCCTGTTTCTCCAACAATACAGCCTCCCCCAATAGGAAGCCCCAGCATGTTTTATAGGCATGAAATGAAATTAAGCCCCTCCCCCCAAAATTTAGGCCTATATTAAAACATGCGAAATGGGGGGAATGGTGGGGGGGGGGCTTGCCATTAGGAAGTACTTTTGTTGCACACTCGGATATGGTGCTGCCTGCGTTGACCCTGATACGAAGTGCCCCACCAACGCCGAGGTCAACATCCAAGTTGTCGCCACCCGCCTGAAGATGCAAGGGGGGGGGGAATTGAGTCACCCCTGAAAAGACGGCCTAACCATTTTTTCGGGGCTCAAAAAAAATAAGACCCGGCCTTATTATATGAGAAACACGGTATTCCAAACACTAGAAAACATGAAAACTACCCTATCATTATTTTGAGAAGAAAAAAAAATCACTCACACTGTATTAAAGTACTAATGAAGTATGTACACCTAAGATTTCTAATTTTTATTTTCTTTATTGTAAAAAACGAAGAGTTAAGCACTCCAATTTTGTAAATGAGAGTAATCTTTTTAGTTGAAAGCATTTGTAAAGATCTACAAATATTTTTGAGGAAGAAAATCTAGGACAAATATTTTCCAACACAAACTTGCCAATGCCAGTAGAGTATGCAGAGAACATAAATATGATGCAGTAGAATATGCGTTAATATTCTTGGACCTCCAACTAAGCTACTGCAGGTGAACTTAACTGGCACCATCTTTGGAGGAATATTAATCATAAACCTGAACTACTTGACAATTTAGCATAATGTTAGTTTTAAAAAGACTTAACTTGGACAATAATTTGGATTGTTACTTCGTAAGTTGGCAAATGCAATGTCAGCCCTTTGTCATTTACCTAGTATTTATATTTCAATATTTTTCAGAAAATTTCTAATCACCCTTCTATAAGTTCAATGTTACTATGGCCTCTGTATCAGTTTTCTATGACTAACAGTTAATTTCAGGTATCTTTTCTTAAGAACAATTTCTGTAGAGTAGGATTTTTTACAGCTTCTTATGTCTGTTCTATTGGCCTAGCCCCAATATTATAGAAATAGATTTATTCTTGTGCAATATGACTTTACTCTGCAGATTTATTTAATGACTGCAGATTTATGGAATAATCTATATCAAGGGCTGTAGGAGAAGGACCAATTAGATCTGCTAATGGTGCTTGCTCTTTGGGAAGAAGAATTATTTCAAAGTCTCTTCTATAAGTTGTATATTTGAAGATACTTGGAACTTTTCTTGAATGTCTAAATATAGCCTTACTCTGTTAAGTGATTTGCTTTTCTCTATTTACAATCTCTTTTGCATCAAACAATTAATTTTTTTGGTCTGCCACTGCATATGAGCACTCCTAATCCTGTAGATGATAGAACTAACCAAAATTATGTTACATTTGATAGTAAGAAAAATCTTTACATGTTAAAAATAATGTTGACTATATATTTTGATTTGGTACATGTTTCACAATAAGTAGTGGCTCCTAATGTTCTGTATTTGTTTGCATATGTTATGGCTACATTCTGTATTTATGATTTTTTGAACTGATGCTATTATAATTCAGTGGGTGAAGCCATGGCTCCTTTGCTGTTAAAAAAAACTTCCATGAATACGTAGGAAAAATATTCATAAATTGAATAGTCAGTTCTTCAATCATGACTAGTCAACAAAAATTACCACAGTAAAATTAATGCAGCTTTTTCTACTACATATATGATATTGCCATTTTGGAAGTTACAAAATAAGGTGAATTAAAAATCTTTGTAAGGTAGAACTTCAGTTCTTCAATAGACTTCATAACAATTATGGAATGTAGCAGTATTATTGCTTACACCAAAGACTGCATTCTATGATGATGAAAGGTAGTTTTATTATGTAAAGCCAACGATTCATGTTTCTGTCTTTATGTCTACAAATAAATTTTTTTAATACTGTTGATATGGTGGTAAATTATTAATTTTCAGATAATTTATCATGAAAAGTAGTTTTCAGGAAATTTTTCTTTGAACATTTTGAGTACTATTTCACCTTATAGGAAGCATTTAAGATGTTAAAAACATTTTGAAATTGTGTACTAAGTGATGATATACATACGGGGAACACTATCAATACAGATATTGCTTTACTTACAAACTTTAGAGTTGCAAAGTTTCAGTGATATGAACAAATGTGGTTCACAAATCTATCCTGGAAGGTTCCAGAAGTCAGGAGAAGGTGGAAAAGAGTTAGTTTCTATCATACCACATGCATATGTGTCCCATTGAAAATTAATCTTTTTCCACCTTTTCTCAACTTAACTTTCCTGCTTTCTCTCAACTTCTCCAATCTTTCTCTCAGGTACTGTTCTCAGATCCACTTGGACACAGATCAGTACTGTTTTATGTAATGTATGGCAACTGAATGTCTGCAATGAAGCACCGTGTGTGTGTGTGTGTGTGTGTGTGTGTGTACGCACATGCACATATTGCACAAAGAAACACCAATCCATCAAGATAGAAATGAAGGTTGCACAACAGGCGAACATTAAAATGGGAAATATACCCGCCCAATAAAAATAAAGGAGTCAGACAGGTTGGCCCACTCTCACCCCTGCTCTTCATATTATCATTGGAAACATTACTAACATATTAGACAGAATCCAGACATAAAAGGATTAAAGGTTAAAGAAGAATATAAGCTGCAAGTGTTTGCAGATGACGTGTTTTTTTTAATTGAAGAGTCAATTGAAAGAGGACAAAAACTGATGAACGAGTTAGAACAATTTGGAGTAGTTGAAGGATTAAAAATTAATAAAAAATGAAATTAATGACTAAAAATCTAACAGAAAAACAAGTTAGAATTAGAAAAGGTCATGGGATTTCAAGTGATAAAGAAAGTTAAATACTTAGGAATATGGCTGACAGCACATTGCAAAACACTAAAGGAAAATAATTACGACAAACTATTGCAACAGGTAAAGAAGGATTTAGAAACATGGGGTAAACTGCAACTTTCACTATTAGGCAGGATTGCAATGATTAAAATGTCTATTCTTCCAAAATTTCTTTATATATTTCAGTTGATGCCAATTAAAGTATGCAAAAAGTATTTTGAGGAACTTAATAAAATAATCGCAAAATTCATTTGGCAAAGGAAAATACCGAGGATAAATTTAAAGGCAATGCAAGATCTGAAGAGCAGGGGAGGGATGGCCCTTCCAAATTGGGAGTTGTACTATAGTGCAACCTCCTTAGTATGGTTGAAGAAATGGGTGAACTTAACAAACAAGAGAATATTAGTTTTAGAAGGCCACGACCTACAGAGGGGGGTGGCATGCTTTTCTATGGGATATTGGGAAAACCACCCAGAAATACTTTCACAGACACTTAATTAGAGATGCATTATTGACTAACTGGAAGAAAATAAGGAGAAAATATTATTTAAAGATACCAATCTGGATTTCAACAATGGAAGCAATGATCTACCCAAATAATTTGGATATTATTAAGATGATTAAATACAAGGACTTATTAAATGCACAAGGAAATTTGAAATTGTGTCAAGATCTTCAGGACCAGAGAGGTGGGCATATCTTCAAGTACAGAGTAGATACAAGCAGGATAAGAAAGAATTTGGAATCAATAATAAACTTCAGCAACTAGACAAAATTCTATTAGGCCCAGACAAAAAAAAATATAACAAAATTTTATAATTACCTACTAGAGGCAGAATTAATGGAAGAAATTGTCAAAGGGAATATGATAGCCTGGAGTAGGAATATAGGACGTAGTATCACTTTAATAAAATGGGAGAAGGTCTGGAGTAGAAATAACAAAATCACAAAATCGGCAGCCTATAAGGAAAATGCCTATAAGATGTTTTACAGATGGCACCTTCCCCTTATGAGATTAGCAAAAATACACCCCATCAGGAGTCTGAATTGCTGGAAATGTAAAAAAAAGGAGGGATCTTTCTTCCATATGTGGTGGTCTTGTATAAAGGCACAAAAATATTGGCAGAAAATTAGAAAATGGTTGGAGGAAATGACAATAGAACAGATCGAATTTAAACCAGAACTCTTTCTATTAGGGATCTTTAATAAACAAATCTCAAAAAAGTGAAGTATACAATAGTACATATTTTGACAATGGCCAGACTGGCCTTTGCACAATGTTGGAAGCAACCTCATATTCCATCAGAAGAATTGATTATTCAAAAAATAGCAAATTGTGCAGAGATGGACAAATTAACTTTGGCATTAAAAGGAAAAGGTACATCAATGTACTATGATAGCTGGAACTGCTGGTACGAATGGATAGAACAAAGATTGATTAAACAATAAAGGGCAAAAGAAGATATGTTATAATTGTAGTAGTGAATATATATATATACACACACACACACACACATATATACACACACGCATACATATACATATACATACATATATATATACATATATAATCCAGCTTTGTTCGGGTATTTTCTCACGTCGTTGCAGTTGTGCTTTTAAAGTTGTAGCAATGTTTTAGCAGAATCTCATCTGCCATCATCAGGCTTCTGGTGATGATTCCACCAGACTGTCAATTATTTGGAAGCCTGCACTCACAAACAAAAAAATCTCCACACTACAAGCCAGGCAAACACCTTGGCACAAACAGATCCCCCCTAATACCTCCAGCTCAAACACCCCGCAACCAGGCACCCAGATGAAACCTAGCTTCCCAATAAATGATAGCCGTCCATTTACTCGGAGCCAAGCTGCACTAAAAGCCTCCAATACAGGAACACAATATTGCCAGCCAATCAAAACACAAAAAGCCACAAAACAGACAGCAGATATTAGAAACACCAATCGAGCAGAACACAGCAATATATATATGTGTGTGTGTGTGTGTGTTTTCTTAAGTTTTCGCGGGTACTTACATGTATGGTATTCAGCTTTGTTCGGGTATTTTCCCACATCATTGTAGTTGTGCTTTTAAAGTTGTAG